AGCTCTCTGGAGCAGAAAACCCTGCCCTGGGCTGCAAAGCATCTGGGATGCTGGGGGACTCCGGTTTAACTTAAACCGGGAAGGAGTCTGGGACAGACATTGGATTAACCAGTTTGACCTAAATCAGTTAAGTCTTATACTACATTTAACCAGGTTTATCTCAAACTGGTTTCAACCATTTTCAAACTGGTTTATATGCACCGAATGCGTGTTCTGTTACAGGTTTAAACCAGTTTCTGATCACTTAAACCAGTTTGTGTAATATCTGTCCCTAGCCAATAAGCACAAAATCTATACAGGCACTCTGCAGGCGATTATAAATCTGTAATTGATATTACTACAAAAGTGCAAATTTTATTCATACAGAGAAGGGTCAAAGGCTTTTCTGTTTTCTTCTCAAACAGAAGTATCCTTTGCAATCTTTTCTCTTGCTTACAAACATGCCTGCATGATTTTTTTTTGCATTTAAAATATGGTTTGAAAATGTCTTGGCCCATCTGAATCTTTCTATCTGTCAACAAGATGGCAAAATGCAGTGACTTCTCTGTAGGAGTATCAACCATTATGCTTAATATCTTATTCTTCTTGCCTAACTATAACTTACGCAAAGTGTTAATTGTTGCGTAGCATCGCAGTATTCCAGGCAGACATAGTCTTGTAGGCTTTAGAAGGGCTTTATTTTGATTTGCCACCAATCTTATCAGTACATGTGAGTCCTATTTTTAGTGTCGTATGAGTTGTCTCGGTCACTGCTTTGATGAATTTCATACTTTTTAATTCCAGATTTACAGATACCATTTTGTGGATAAATGTATTTTTCTGTGTGCTTTTTTTTGTTGTGTTTTCTGTAACAGACATTTGTTTTCTATCCTGCAAACAGTTAACTGCTGTAAAATGATTGGTGGGGGGGGGGAAAGGAATTGTATTAGTCTTGGTCAGAGTTTGTAACTGACAGATGAATGTTACTTGCTAAAATTACACAAGTGACCTCCAAGATATAGATGGCAGTTGGCCACAGCAGTGCCATTCTCAATGTCCAGCTCAGAAACTAGTGGGTTGCACTATATCAGTTCAGAAATGGAGGTGGTGTTGGCTTGGGATACTGTTTCTCCCCCGCAAAAACCAAGTACTATTCTATTGCTGTTCAACTTATGGCTGCATTATGGGTTTTGTGTTGAAGCAGTGGTTCTCAGCCTTTTCAGTCTTGAGGCACCCTTCAGATAAAAATGCTAGCTCTTTGTTTTCACATGGTTTTTGATTATGAAAAAAACAGAGCAATTTTTCTTTTGCAAAGAACTCAAGAAAACCACGCTAGGTTGGCATGATTTTAACACTATAGATTCCCATTTGAAATATCTGGGTTTATTTTGTGAGTCGTGTAGGTGTTTGCACTCTTCATAGTCTAATATTGTTTAGTACCGTTAAGAATCTCAAGGCACCCCATGGTGCTGCATCACCCTGATTTGAAAATCACTGTTTTGGAGTCTAAAGTGGTCCCATTTGAACTGATGCCAAAAGTCTGGAAGCTAAGTTTGCAAGCTATTGTCAGCATCACTGTCTCTGGGCAAAAGAAAGCCTTGTGCCTCCACTTACGTCTCAAGCACTGAACTATGCACAGTCACTTCTTTGGAATTCTTAAGAGCAGTAATAAAGGACTAACTCTGAGGGAGCAATGAAACTCAGTCCCATCTTCTTTCCAAGTGCAGACATTGTCCCATTTAGTGTCAGGTAAACTGAAAACAATTTGAGGTAAGTATGTCTTTGTTCAATGCATCATCAGCCTGTAGAATTCACTACAAACAGCTTGAGATGAAGAAAGCTGCAGGATTCAACTGGACTTGGATGTCTTGGGGGTTTTACATGGAACTGTAATGGCAGTTAAGCCTCGTGTTTTAGGCTGGGGACAAAAGCTGCATGTAAACCTCTTTAAGTGATCAGGAACTGGTTTAAACTTATAACAGAACAGACATTCAGTGCTCTTAAACCACTTTCAGCCACAACATGGCTGAAACTTATTTAAAATAAATCTGGATAGATGTAGTATCAGGCTTATTGATTTAAGTCAAACCAGTTTGTGGAACTTCTGCCCCAGATCCCCTCCTGATTCAATTTAACTTGCAGTCCTCCAGCATCCCAGGATGCTGTGCAGCTCTGGGCTGTGCTGTCTGCTCCGGCAGGGCAGGGCAGGCCTGCCCCAACTGTAAGTGTGGGGGCTCTTTCATCCCCCACAGCCAGGAGCTGGTTGGATTTCCTTGCCCTGCCCCCTGCTTGGCCAAGGAAATCAGCCTAGCTCCCAGCTGGGGTCAGGGGAGTAAAGCTCCCACTGCAGGCTTCCTCCCCATGATGGGCCAGCCCAGCTGGGAATCTGGAGCTGGGCAGGGGGTGTTAGCCCCCTCACGCCCTGCTTAGCCAGCCCACAGTGGGGGAGGGGGTGTGGCTGGGTGATCACCCTGGCACCCAGCTTAGGCAGTGGGAGTAAAGACCCCACTGTGGGCTCCACCCCTGTGCCAGGCACAACCCAGCTGGGGGTCTGGAATGGGGGGAGGGAGGGGCCATTTTTTTCCCCCTACTCCCTCAGCTGGCTTGCTGGCTGAGGACAGGGCATGGCCAGTGATTGCCCTGGCTCCTGGCTGCAGGGAAGCCCACAGTGGGGCCTTTACTTACCCCACCCAAGCCAGGAGCTGGGGTGATCTCCTGGTCATGCCCCCTCTTTGGCTAGCAGGCCAGCTGACGAGTGAGGGGTGGGGGAAAGTCTCCACTGCCTGCTGTGGAGTATGGGGAAAAGTGGCCCCTCGCCCACCCTGTGGCCGGCACTCCCTGCTGGAGCCACTCGCAGCCCGTGCAGGGATGTCCTGAGCAGGTACAGGCAGCCCCATGCGGGCTGCAAGTGGCTGCAGCATGGAGCAATGGCTACAGGGTGGGCAAGGGGCTGCTTTCCCCTTGCGCTTAGCACCAGCTTATAACCTGGTCCCGTGCCGGCTCTGGGCTCACCCATCAGGGTTGTGCTGCGGCGGCAGCAGCTGCGGCCCCCCTGCTTGCCATGCTTAGCAGCGTTTGCTGCTGCTGCCTGCCCAGAGCTCGTGCTGCAGTACGCTGCGGTGAGGCTGCTACTGCCTCCTGGACTACCCAGCATATGAGCTCTGGGCAGGCAGCAGCAAGCACTGCCTGGTGCGGCAAGCGGGGAGCGGGGGGCCTCAGCTGCTGCCACTGTGTGCAGCCACAGTGGGTGAGCCCAGAGCCGGCACAGGGCCCAGGCTGGCTGCAGGGGTGGGTTACAAGCTGGTGCTGAGTGCAGGGGGGAAAGCAGCCCCGTGGCCGGCACCCCATACTGCAGCCACTTGCAGCCCACTTGCAGCCCAGCGACTGCCTGTGCCTGCTCAGGACAGCCCTGTGGAGGCTGTGAGCAGCTGCAGCAAGGAGCGCCAGCCACAGGGTGGGGGAAGGGTCACTTTTCCCTGTGCTCCGAACCAGCTCCTTCCCTGCTGGCGAGCATGCATCAAGTGTTTGTGGCTCCTGGAGGCCTGGATCTAATGACACAGTGATGTGGAATAGGAAATTTGGATTTCTAGACAAAACATGCATGTTAAATCATCTAGTTCAACTTTTAGTAAATAATTTTTATGTATGGGGTGAGAAAAAGTCTAAGATCTTCATCTTGCAAAGACCTATGCATATGCTTTACTCTAAGCATGTTATTAGTTCTGTTAAACTAGTTAAAGTGGGTTTAAGGGGGGGTGTTATACATTACAATTATCACATTCTGACTAAGGAATTTTAGTGTTGTGAGCAGCTGCACGTTAAGGATTAATACCCTCTGTAATATGCACTGCACTGACCTGACCCTACAGGGCTGGCAGGCTGGGGTGTGGCTAGGGGCTGTAATTTTTCTCCATGCCTTCCCTTCTCGCTAGCTGTCTAGGGCAGTTTAGGCTCCAGGATTGGGGTCCTCCTAGCCCCTTCCCCCCCTGGATCAGGGCCTCCTAGCCTCTCCCATCATCTGGTTCTGGGCCCCTCAAGCTTCTCCACGCCCCAAATTGAGGTCCTGCTAGCCCTCCCTCCTGGCCTGATCAGGACCCTGCAAGGCCCCCCACCTGCTCCCCAGCCCCACAAGACTCACTCACCCCCATGTCCCTTGGGGACCCCCATCTCTCTTCCCGCACTGATGCCATGCTTACCTGTGCTGCTGGCACTGTCCTGACTGCAGCCAGGGCAGGGAATCCTGCCCACCTGATGCTACTGCCATTGCCCTCCAAGCTGAGCTCAGCCCGTGGAGGCTGCTGCAGGTGAGTGGGGCGCCCCAGGGAGTGGCAGGTGAGTGGCTCTTAACTTGGGTGAAGGGGGAGAGCTGGTGGGGCCCCAGTCTGGGTTAGGGGGCCCTGCCAGCTCCTTCCTTCTGCCCAGACTGGGGCTTTGGGAGGAGCAGGAAGACAGAAAGGAAAGGAACCTGTGGAGCATGGAAAGGAAAGAGGGGGGTTCTTCCTTGTATGGCTCCCCTGCTTCATGCTCTCCCTGCTGTCACTCTGAGGAAGATAGAACATTCACTGGGAGTGGTGTCTTCTGGGATGCTGGGGGATTATTCCCAACTAGAATTAGACCTATGGAGCAGTCTCAGAGGATGACTGCAACATGAGCTCCCTAACCTCTTCAGGTGAGGATCATCTTCAGAAGAGGACCATCTCTGAGACCAGCAGCGAGTACTTAGCTCATCTTTTCCTGCTTAACTTGTGGACACTCCCATTTTTAAGAGCCTTTAACATGTATAATAACACACGAATATGAGTGAAGCACAGGAGTAAGTCCTTGCAAGACCATGACCCAAATTTGCTATCTAATGGTGTGAACTATCCTCTGTGCAGGTATAATATAGAATTTTTCTGTGTCCACTTGTATCATGCTGTTAGTGCCCTACTCAGCTGAAAATTGTGGTGTGGTAGATGCTGAAACTGTAAAGAATTTGTACTAAAATGAAATTTCTTTTGTTTATTTTCTTTCTATTTCAGATTGATTGCAATGTCTCACTGCATTCGTCTGTTATCCATTGCTGCTAAGTTCAGTTTGCTGGTTTTTCTGCTTTCTGCAGTGTTTTTGTGTTCAAGCTTAAGTGACAGAAATCCAGTAAGTATCTATTAATTTAACAGTGAAAGGTGGTTATAAAAGGGCAGTTAAATCATTTGAATTATTGGATACCAGTGGGATGAAAATAGCCTTATGTATTCTCATGAATTAGGTGTATGACATACGTGGTAGGGCATCACCTCTCAACTTCGCAGTGTTATGTCACTTTTAAATATTTTATGGTAAATTTTGTTTCTTAACACCTGATAAAGTAATTTCTGCATCACCTCATACTAAGCAGTAAAGAGAAGGATGTGGAATAGACAATAGGATCCGGGCTACCCTCACATTTTGCCCTGTGCACCATTACAAAAAATAATTTAAACAGCAGAAAATGAAACTTCAGACCCCTTTTGACAAGTGCCAAAACTAAATATTAGTCTAGAACTGAATAGAGGGGATGGGAGTAAAGACTCGTAAATTATATTTTCAGTTGTGCCTCTGCTCGCTATGTAACTATGAGCAAGTGATTTAGTCTCACGTTTTCAAAAGCAACATCTAATCTAGGGCCCTTGCTGTTTTGTGGAAGATATTATGAGCCTGATTTTCAGACTTCAGTTGAAGTGGATGGATGCTGTGTGTACTTGGCACCTCTGGATGTATGTAAATTTAAGTGACCATGTCATGTCTGTACGGTTGCATCTGTCCTCCAGGATTGGTGTTAGACTTTAATTTAATTTAAAATTATCATAGAATCATAGAAGTAGGGTTGGAAGGGACCTTATAGATCTTCAAGTCCGACCCCCTGCCAGGGCAGGAGAAAAAACTGGGCTCAAATGATCCCAGCTAGGTAGGCATCAAGCCTCCTTTTGAAGACCCCCAGGGTAGCAGCCAGCACCACTTCCCTTGGAAGTTGGTTCCAGATCCTAGCCGCCCTGACTGTGAAGTAGTTCTTATGGATGTCTAATCTAAACCTACTTTCCAACAACTTGTGGCCGTTATTCCTTGTTATGCCAGGGGGTGCTAGGGGAAACGAGGTCTCTCCCAAACCCTTCTGGTTCCCCCTAGTGAGTTTGTAGACTGTCACCTTCTCTTGTGAAGGCTGAACAGGTTCAGGTCCCGCAGTCTTTCAACGTAGGGTCTGCCCTGTAGTCCCCGGATCATGCAGGTGGCCCTCCTCTGGATCCTCTCAATGTTGTCCACATCT